AAATGTGGCAGAGCTAAAGGTGACGCGTGGCGCAATTTTTTGGGCAAAATTCGGGCTATGCAGAAACAGGGCTTTTACCGAAAATGTGTCACACGGTAATCCCCTTATTTGCTAGTCTAATTTACAAAGAAAGTTTTTAATAAGACCCGAGATATATATAAAGGGTAGGGCAGCGAGTACGTGTATCTTTAACCCAAAAAATCGTGTAGATCTTTCCTTTTTAGATAATTTCTTTAGATAATGCCAGCCAAAATTTTATTACATATTTAGTAACTGACTGAGATTAGCATAATTTCGGTCCCGAAAAACAATTTACTGAATCACTTGATCTTTACATATATATTTCGGGTTATATAATTATTACATACAAGTCTCAAAACGCTTTATAATATATGATTTAATTCCAAAGTTAAATTGAAAAAAGCAAAGCCCACTTCAAATATCTGATGACGTCAACATTTTAATTTTTATATAGTATATGCAGTATATACGCAGTATGTTGCTGAAAATTAAATTCAAATTACACATATTACACAGCTTTAAGATATAGTTTTTCTAGTTTATTAAGGCTGATCTTTGTATCGTTTCTTTTAAGTATATGTGTAATAAGATAATTTTTTCACAGAAGAAATTTTTTTCATAAACATTTTGATTATTTCTTTTGCCAGGATTTTTGACTTTTCTAAAAACATCAATAATCACTTGACCAATCGCATGAATTGACAAAGCTTTGTAAAATGATACATAGTTAAATAATAGATTTTTTGAGATTGAGTTGAATTAAGAATTCTCTTCTCAAGCAAATGACTTTTTGAATCATTAGGAGGAAAAATGATCAATGTATTAAGAATTGCCGGTTTTACTTTCAATCGGTGCCGACCTAGGTAATCGACTTGCCAATCCAAATATTACACAAAATTCTAACAGAAATTTCACACCAAAGACGATTGACTAATAAGCAACTTTATTTTTCTCTAAATACTCAAAAGTTTCATTAGGGCAATCGACAGGAAATTTACAAGATATCTTTAATATTATAGATATAATAAAACAAGAAAAAAATTTAAGGGTTTCATTCAAACACGATTTACACTTACCCGCCCGTGTTGCACTATTTCAATCGCTTCATTGTAAATTTACTAATAGAGATAGTATTACTTTACCGAGTGTGATATTTACTGCAGATCAATTGTTTACATACTTTTGAATTGAGGAATAAAAGGTCTAGGCCAGTCCACTCTTATTCGCATACTAGGAGCGTGAAAAATAGATTTACTAGATTTAAGCTTAACTCTAAAGGTGAAGCATTGTAATACAATTTTGTAAATCGTATGATTTAAAATAATACGTTTTTTATTGCTATGATTTACATGAAATAAGTGAGTATTCAAAACGTTCAAATGTTTTTGGCTAACACTAATAATTGAAAAAGATTATAAGCTAGAACAAATATCTGATTTAACTTTTGCAGAATTTTATTCATTAGACACAATATAAAATTTTAGAAACAATATAGTATAGCAACTCTTACTAGTTTACAACGAGTTATCTAAGTTTTTTCGTAGCGAAATATCGTCGATTCGGCGGTTCTATTTTTATGTTTTCTGATATTAATTCTTGACTATAAGACAAAGACGTTCTTTTCTCAGTTTTTCGTTCCGGTGTGGTTTCTAACTTTAATTTCTTGGATTATAGCTCTTTAGTAGCGCGGGATTGAAATCATCCATTTTTTTTTTAAGAGACGAATTTCGCATGGTAACAAATTCCGATTTTTGTATCATTTAAATTTGTTAAAATTTATAACTTTCTTACTTTTTTAAAAAAAATGGGATCAGGATTTAATTAAAGGGTTTAGGTTTCTTGATGTATGTTTCGTTGTTGCAAAATTTTCAATTTTTTTAATTTTTTTTGTATAATTAATTGCTAGTCCGCATGTGGGCGGTGCAGATCATTTTAAGCATCAAAATTAATTTCCGCGGAGTTATTTAACTTAGAAAACTGAAAAATTTGAAAAAATCGCAAAAAAATCAATAATTGCTTAAAATTAGGTAGTTTTTACAGGTTTTTGAAGTCATTAAATCAAATATAAAATAAAATCCGTATTTTTTCAATTAATTTTGTTTTAAAGAATATATTAATACATATGTAAAAGTATGTAAATATAAAATTTGAGGCTTCTAGCCGGTACTTTTATAAGGCAAAAAAAAGTGGCGCAAATTTATTCAAAATATTGCCAAATTTTGACTAATTAGCAATGTTTAGTAATATTAAATACTTGAATAAAAAAGATATAACCTCAAGGTTTTTTCAACAAAAATTTTAAATAATTTGATTAAAAATTGATCGACTTATCTATGGGGGAAACGCAGATTTCATATGTAATTTTGACTTGTTCAATTTATAGATGGATTTTTAAGATTTTGAGTTTTATAAGAATCACATTAAACATTTGGATAAAAAAAATCAAATCTCAAAGTCCTTTTAATAAAAATTCAATGGGAAACGCAGATTTCAAATTTGCGGTAATTTTTCTATTCATCACATGCGGATCGGCAATTAAATCATTAATACATTTTATTAGTCCGAAGTCCGGATGTCCGTCCGACACGTCAACAATGGGGGTCTTCACAAAAAACGTGATTGAGATTGAGATTGAAATTTAGTATAGAATTTCAATCTTACTAACATATTAAGATTGAAAATTCTATATGAAATCTCAATCTCAATCTCAATCACGTTTTTTGTGAAGACCCCCAATAAAACCTTAACAGCACTTCGAACTTAATAATGGTTTCCGTTCCCTAGTATTTTATTTTTATTCATCATAATATTAATTCTTTTTACTAATATACTTAATATGATGCCGTCATTCTGAAGATGGCGATAATGATTTAATTTAAGATTGTTCAAAAACGATAATTTTGTAACATCAACATTAATTTAGGTTTTTAAAGTGTGAATATTGATACTCGATAGTTCGATAGTTTTTAATTTATCAACTAAATAATTTACCGAATAACTTAAATTAATGTTACACCATAATACATTATTGTATTATTGTATAAATACAAGACCGTTGTCCGTGTGAAATGGATTCACCCACATACAAATTTATTAAAATCAGGTGATTTCACCGTAATAAATCACACGTAAAAAATTTTGTATAAAAAAATTTTTAATTTGAGTGAATTTATATATAGTTTTAATTAATTGAAATTTTATTATAATCTAAAATACATTTATTATGAATGGAAAAATCTATAATCTCGTTACATCATATTATGGTTCATGAGATTTTACAGACTCTTGATAACCACCACCACTGAAATCAAAAATAATTGAGATTGAAATGAACCAAAGATACTTACTTGGGTGATTTCTTCTTGAGTTTCATTGGGTTTCTTTTGGATTTCTTCCTTGGGTCTTTTCTTGGATTTTATTTGGGTTTCTTTTTGGGTCTTCTTGTGCTTCTTTTCTTTGATTGGAGGAATGTCAAAAAAAGGTTATCCGTTATCTGATAAACAAATAAACAAAAAAAAATTTAATCAGGTGATATCACCTACGGTAAAAATAAGTACCTTTATAATCTTATTATTTTACCTTTCAATTTGCAAGATACACATGGTACAATGGCTAATAATTTAATTAATAAAAAAAATCATTGAGTTCAATAATTGAATGATCCAATTATTGTAGATACTTTCTGGTTATAAGTTATTTATTGAATTTTATTAAATAAAAAAAATAAGTATGGAATTTTCAAATAGTATTGTACATTCTATACAATTTCTGGGTACTGTAGTATACTAAAGAAAATTATACCATAAGTTAAATATACTAACTATTCCCCTCTCATTTACGTATAGCGTTCGTATATAACTTTAGATGGGAGGGATACTTTATATACATACTAGAACTATACAGAAAGTTTATGAATAATATACTGTTCGTCGTTTTATAGTTATATTAAATATATACTGTCATCGATTTGACAATTATTAATAGCTTATACCTTAATAATCAAATGAAACTTAATAACTTATTTCTTAAATATGTAGTATTTATAGTTTCAAAAATTTATGAATAATACCAAGCTTTTTATATTTTTCTATCACTTCCATATTTCCTTCTTTAGCCTCTAAACTATTTTTACATCCCCTAAAAATAAAAGAAAACGGTCTTTGTGGTACACGATTTTTCCAATTAATAAAAAATTCTTCTAAATCTTCTGGAGTTAATTTTGAACTTGAATTATAAAATAACTTTAACCTATAAAAATTTTTTGGTGAATATTTTGCCAAAGATTCCAAAAGATCTTTTTCTTTTAACAGGTCGTTATCATGTCGAGTCCCAATACTTTCTAATTGTTGACAATTTTTAAGAATTAAATTTAATGTTTCAATCTTACCAAATAAAATAGACAATAATTGAAGATTTTGACAAAATTTAGCTATAGCTAAATTAATCGAATCATCAGAATTTTCACAACTAATATAAAATTCTTTTAAATTTTTTCCATTATTTTCTAAGAATTTAATTATTACATCACTTTCTGGATATGCACATAAAAATTTTAAAATTTGTAATTGAGGCAAAATAACATTCTGTAACTTATCACTGAGTTCATGAAAATAATCTCTATTCCGAAACGTTAAAACAAGTTCTTGTAAATTTATGAAATTAGTAATAAATGATAATGGCCCATTCTGATAATATTCTAATTTTAATTTAATTAAGGTATTTGAATGATTTGTTAATGAAGGTATGATATCTGTTTTCATATCTGTAATATCATGTTTTAATCTTAATGATAAACATTTTAAATTATTTTGTGAAGAAATTAAATCATTTAAATCACTTGAAATTGATTTTTTAAATTCTATTGTTAATGATTGAATATTGAAACTTATTTGAGATAATTTATGAAAAAATGAGAATTTAACATTGGAATTACAACTTAATTTTGAAAGTTTTTTTAAACAATCTTTTGCTTTAGGATAATGTAAAAATGATAAATTTATAGTGTTGGAATTATTGGTATAATAATATAATTTTTTCAAAGGAATTTTTTTCATAAACATCTTCATAATTTCTTCTTCAAGATATCTTTGACTTTTAAAGACATCAGCAATCATTCGAACAATTCCATGAACTGAAAGAACTTTACAAAATGATGCATAATCAAACAATGAAGTTCTTGAGATTTGACTTGAATTAAGGATTCCCTTCTGACGTAAATATTTTTTTGATTTATTAGGAAGGCAAATAATCAACATATTAAGAATTGATTTTTCCACTTTCAATCGATGTTCATAACCAACAAGGTTAATAGTCCAAATATTCCTCCACAATATTCTAACAGATATTTTACACCAAAGTCGATTAACTAATAAGCATGAATGTAAAGAGAATTTATCTTTCTCTAAATACTCCAAAATTTCTTTAAGACAATCAGCAGGAAGTCGAGAGGCCATTTTAATAATTAGTAGTAAAAAAGAAAATGTGTCCAAAATTTTTATTCCCAAATGTGAGTTGGCATTTACGCCTTTACGCCATTAGTAATCGTGCTACAAACAAATTACTAATAAATATTCATTTAATTTGCCTGTTAACTACAATTGTACAAATTAATGTTGTTTGTGTTCAAATGGTATTAATTGGTGTTACTAAAATTAATTTGCAGATCAAAATAATCTTCCTCCTGTTATCCTGTTATATTTTTTTTAATTAACTTTATAAATAGTGATGATAGGCGGTTTGCTCGGAAATGTTGATTATGTTGCCGCAGTAAAAATATTTCAATGTTTTTTACACAATGTAAAAATTCAAATAAAATTATTAATTTATAAGTAATGTTCAATAAAAGCTAATGCTTTTTATTATTCGATTATTTTTTTCTGTTCGCATTATATCAACGCTTAAGATTACAGATAAATCTACATGTAACCATCATGGACGAAAATTCAAGTGAAACCAATGTTACACAATTATGTTGTTGAAAATATTACATATGAAAATCCTATTACTATTTTATGAATGTAACATTTCTAAATTTTTAATTTCTAGTATTTTTTTTTAAAAAAAATACGATAAACATGCTAATAACATGTTAATAAATTATTATAATGAAAAATCCTCAAATTTATAATCATGCACGATCATTTTAAGGAATATTACAGCCGTTTTCAAAATGATTGATGCTATTTATTTATGATTAAATATTTGAATACCAATATTCGTCTAGTTTTCGTTCATTATTCGTCCCGGTTTTCATCCGGTTTTCATCCGGTTTTCGGTTTTCATTTTTTTTCATCCAAACATAACAGCATCAACCATTTTGAAAACGGCGATAAAATTTAAAAGTAATATAATAGTAAATTACTAAATTACGATAATAGAATTTTTTAATTTTTTATTTGCACACCTCAGATGAATAATAAGTATTTAATTATCAATAACGCTAATTGCTAAGGAAAAATCGACTAACAAAAGAAAAAAAAATGAAAAAAAAATGAAATGATAACCTACCCACTTTCTTAGTTCAAGAAGCTGAAATACTATGTCATACTAATTTTATAAAATTATTATTTATTTATATTATGATTATTAGAAATGAAAGATGGGATCGATAATCTGCAACTCACAATAACGTTATCCATAATTTCGCAAATTGCAGATAACTATAGTATTGCTTCAAATCCACAATATCACGATGCAATCTGAAAGTTCGTTCTGGAAAATTACGACATACGGCTATCTTTCAACTCTATTACAAATAATACGGTATGCAACACTAATCGAAAGGATTTTTTAAATATTTTTAATCGTGTATCTATTATCTACATGAATTTAATTAAATTATTTTATTTACTTATGACACTTTATTACTCTTAACGCGTTAGGTTTATAGTAAAATTAACTCTTTATTGGGTAGATATGACATATTAATAATATAACTAAAGTTTTCCGCCTGATTTCCATTAAAGTCGTGTAGGTTTGATATTAAATCTTAGAATATAAATGTATACGGTATTTCCACATAACAGGCTTGCTAAAGTTAACTGTAATCACGTTCGATATTTTTTAAGAAAAGAACATGTAATAATAAGATTTTGAATTACCGAGAATTTCACTAGGTTTAGATGATGATGGCGATGAAGGAAGAAGCTGGGTAAATAACCTAAGAATTATATACGATAACGAGCCGACCGGGCCTGAAAAAGTTTATCCCAAGCATTCTACCATAACAAGCTATGAAATCGTGTCCATCTCTGATGCCTGAAATGTCGTAATTATCATCAGAGTCATCTTCATCAACATCCCAAATCTCTAATTTATCTGGACAAGGAAAAATGTATGTTTCACGCCTTTTCTCGGTCAGAAGAATTCAGTGTATTAGAACATAATGCACTATTGGATGCGTTAAATTACCCTGTGAAGGGTTTAAGTCTTTTCAAATATGATCAACAGTATTACTAATTCGAGACTACGAATTCATCATGCAAAGCTCGATTATTTTTCGATCGATAACCCTCTATCCTCGCCCTCTTCTTCACACCATTACGCAGCGTTTGATATTCCGCGGACTTCTTGGACCAAAGTCGAGAAAGTCACGGCCACTAACCTTCTGCTTTCACATTATTTCCAAGTCATCGTTGTCAAGTCCGCTAACGTGAGCTCGTCATTTCCAGTAGCAGTAGTTGAAGCAGGCGTATTAGTTTCAGACAGTGCTTTTATAGGCTATTTGGCTCAGATAAAAATGTGTTACGTTCGGAGTGATTGACCGATGTGGAATAGAAGCATTTCTAGGGATTTTATGTCGCACAGACATTGCATCATCACACGACATTTATCGAGTATTCATCAAGAACAGTATCAATGCTTTATTTTTTTGCTGGAAGCTGGTTTATAGTATACAAAAGACCAAAATATTCCTAACGATCAGGTGCGGATGTTGGGATATCTAGATAGACTATAACATGAATGTCCTTTTCAGGTATGTCCTTGGAAAAACATTCGGAAATCTTAGACATTAGGTTCAACGCTTTCCATTTAGGCTCGTAAGTATTGCTTTAACACTGTGTATAGTTAACCGAATTTAGTAATCGGAATATTATCAAATAGGGGCGCATATGCTTTTTTAATTTCCTTTCGGAGTAAATGAATAGGTTCCTTGTCGTCAATCCTAACTATAACGATATGTTGAACCCGATATTCCCGACCAAATCACTAGGAACAGTAAGACAATTAAGTAGGATTACTGGCATTTTGTTTTTCCTAAATATAAAGGTCCATAATGAATGGATTTTCATTTGTATGGATGCAAAGAAGCTTCGAAACATTTTTCTATTAAAATAACATGTTCGTATACGCACCTTATTTTTTCGCGGGAAGGTTGACTGAACTTCTACAGTTATTGGCACTTTATATCTCATTACTGTAGTCCGCCAAAAATAAAAAGACCGAACGCCGAAGATAAGGAAGATGATTATCATTACCATATGATGCTTGAAGGTTCATGAAATTGGAAACTTGATTTCTTTTAGTTTAGCGATCTCCCCTGCAAGACTCAAAGTTGGATAACTCGTGTAGATCTCGGAAATTGCGAAGTCCTCAGCCCTTCGTAACATATGCTTTTGACGTTAATATTAACTTATAGAGTAGGCCCCGTGTCGCAACAAAGCATTTTCACATTCCTCTTGTGTTTGTTTGTATGGGAAAAAAGATAGAGGTATGGTTTTTGATTATATGCAATTAATATATCGCACGGAAGTTACACAATTTGTGGCTCAGCAAAAAAAATCTTCCGAGATGATGATCACCGCTCTGGTTCAACGATGACTGTACCATTGCATAAGTGAACGTCTCTTTATCGTCTCTTCGTTAAATCCAAATTGTTAATACTAACTGACTAAAAATTTCCTTTAATGCGGAAATGTGGTCGTGATTAGTTTTTGTCAAAGAGTTTGATTGGTTTCGCTTGAACATAAGGTACCCCTCTTCTGCGATAATTGACAATAGCGTAATTTTGCGCAGGAGAGGTATTGTTTCTAGGACAATGCCTTAAAGCTTCGGATGCAATAGTTATAGCGTTCGACAAATTTGTAGCTCCATGTGTTACCACTGCATACAGCTCCTATATTTCGTAAATATTGAGGGAGTAAATCGTACTTATTTAGAAATGCGTGGAAACATTTAATACCAGGGCAACCAGGCGTACCGGGATCTTTTAACTGCCCAGATGAAATTGCATCTTGTATCCATTTAAGTAACTGTTTAGCTATTTTTTTTCCATTGAACTAAATGCACTCGATGTTTCACATAGCCAGTTACGCTCCCAGCAAGAGCCTGTAAATCAGGTTTGCTAGATACATCGTAGCCATCTTTCCTTAACCGATTCTAACGCAAAATGGTCTGGATAATTAATTAATGCCCTCATTTTGCGACGTAAGCGCTCCTCTTTTTGGTTTTCATTAGCTACACGGGTTGTATTAGGATCTAACGTAGCATAAGTTATTTTTTCTGAAGCGTTAAGCTTGATATATATATATATATATATATATCGTAATTCTCTTCGAAGTCTGGAGAGGCGTGATGAGGCAGAACTAGCACTTGAGGTAGGCTGATTCAACTAAGACTTTGCGTATTGCTTTTACTTCCATTTCACTAAGATTGTCCTGAACAATACGCCGAACCAATTTTTCAATACTCTCTTCTTGCGAAACTTGACATACATTCACCGCACCTCCTTCCCGATTCTGTACTCTTTTCACTCTGTCTGTTAGAAGTTCAAGTAATTTAGATGCAAGTTCATCAGGGCTCATTCCCGAATGAAGCTTATGGTCTTCAACAATCTAATTCTATCGATATAACCTAATACCATGTCCGCAATTGTGACCTAGATTATACCAGTACAGGGTTATAGTGTGTAGATAAAACTTCAATTCGAAAAATATTTATGCAGGCTGGTAGGCAAAATGGACGTGCTTACCCTCGTCGCACTCATTAGCATACTCGAGGAGAATGGTATGATGTGGTGAAGAGGCGATCAATTGAACGCTTCCACATTTTTTTGATGGTCGAAGGTGCTGCCAACTTTTTTTCCATTCCAGATCAGTCTTTCTCGTACAGTCATATCCATATATCCTCGGGGGTCATCTTCAAATTTTTTCGCTCATTCACAGGTTCGGTTTCATCCTACCGCGCTAGTGTGTTGCGCTTATTTTCGTCCTGGATAGTTACGAACCTATCGGTGTCCCCACCGAGGGCGATTTCCCTTTTTCTGAGACGCCCTTCGCAATGCGCTCTGGCTGGGATGATTGTAGGCGTGAATCCTGTTGAGGTACGACTTCTTTACCTTTTTCGGGCGTCTGAGAAGGTTCGGGATTGGAATTGACCACAGGCTCAGGTTTTGCAACTGTTTGTTCGTCAGTTTGAGGAGGTTCATCCATTCCAGAGGTGCTAGATGTTGACGCTATCTGGATTTCTGGCACGTACTTCCGCGGTCTTGTTTTCAGGTAAGTCAGTTTGTAGAGTGTCAGAGAATTCTTTGATATCGCCCTTCTTATCTATATTATAAAAATAAAAATAAAATCTTTTCTTTTATTGACATCATTATTTTACACAATTTATTACACAATTTATTTAGATTTGTTGTAACTAATGGTTTATTAGATTATGACATTATGTGATAATCTATCTAATTAAAATCTATTTGTCATATTTAGATTACCCTGTATAAATAACTTGAATTGTGTAACATTGAAAAGTGTGATATTCTTGCGTTCGTAATTAATTAACTGACTATCTTTAAACTAATACATTTCCAGTTAATTAAAATTTTAACTTGATTTTTTTTATTCTGATGGATTAATACTAACAAAAAAAAGTATAATTTTTCTTATTAATTGCATTTATTTGCGGTCATTTCCGCTCTCTTAGTTACCACGAACCAATAATAATTTTTTTTTATTTTTCAGTTTTTACCTTAACTACCTTTTTAGTCTTTTTTTTTT